GTTTGTGTTAAACTAAAACACACCACAAATCCTCTAGAATGTTGTGTTATCTGGATTAAATAAATTATCTTTCATTTATTAATACATTTACTTTTTTCTACTCAGCAGATGGGAAAGTATAAATACTTTAAAAACGTACAACTCCATGACATTGGTAATTAAAAGGCATGTAAACCCTTACAGTAATGTGATAAAAGTGTTTTGATATAATATGAATGTCTCTTTTCAACAGTAAAATGTAATGCCTTTTACTACAATGACCTCAATCACATGATACTTTATCAAACCAACCTAACCTGATTATATTGTTGATATTCTGCCTAATCCAACCTTTAAAATGAATTCCCTAATCTATCTATATACTCACCCCTAATGAAGCACAATGAAACGTCTGCATTACTCAAAACGGATGCTTTCTCAAAGGGTAGACACAGCCAATGTCACTCATTGTGTCTGAATTTTATATAAATGTTATTTGTACATTTGTACTAACACGGTTACGAATATAATTTATTTTGTTAAATTTGAAGAAAAAGGTGTTTTAAGTATTTCCCCTAAAGTAGTGTGAAATCATTCGAAGAGAGTATGCAGGATTTCATTCCAACCAATCACTGCAGCACAGATCAGGTTCGTTTCAACTCTCTGCTAGAAAATGCAGAGACGCATATAATCAGCTGCTGAAGTGTTGGGCTGGAAAACCTGGTGAAAGTTGCAGGACATACTTGAAACAGAAAGAGAACACAAAAGGAAAAAGGAACACATTCTTACCAGCTAAAAGTAAAAGTAGTCTCATGTTTTGTTCGTCCTATGAAAAAGTCTGGTGAGAAAACAAAACAAATATCAGCAGGCGGGAACGATCGAATAGAATCAAAGCCAGTCGTCTGTATTTCCTGAAGTGGGACTCACCTGCAGTGTGTGTGCTATCAGCTCTGTTATCTGCTCTATATAACTGTGTTGCTGCCAAGCTGCTGCGTTATAAACACTGTCTCACCTGGGCGCTATGACACATTGTGTGTAAGAGTCACACCCTTCCCCTCCACTCCCTTCACTCCATGAATCAACACACACACACACACACACACACACACACACACACACACACACACACACACACACATACACACACAGACAGGAAGGCAGACACAGTCAACACGAGGAAACCACAAACTTAAAAAGACTCATCCAGGTGTAATACAACACAATCCTGACCTCAAATATAAAACTTAAACGGAGCTCCAAACATTCCATCTGCTCATTGAGCCAGTTAGAAAAACATCAAATGTTCGCAGATGTGTTTCTTGTTACTGTGCAGGCTAAAACATGTCTTTACAAAATCTAGTATTTACTCTCCCAGAGAACTCTGGGAATCCTCTGACTTTTTCATGCAGCACCATCATCATGTTAGCATGTCTTGTGAACATTTGAACATGTTAATGTTAGCATATAGCTGCTATACACTTTAAGAATACATCGATAGCCATAAAGCCATTTTTGATATTCGCAGTAAAAGTATTACTTTTAAAAACTCATTAAAAAAAAAAAATACAATAAAATGTTTACGATTAATAATTTGATTTTCAGTTGTCAAAGGTGGACCCGCTCTTTGTTTGCTCAGATTCTTCCCCACAGTGGCTGGCAGAACACATTGAACCTTAACATTCCTTAAACGCCGGGGACTATCATGTCTCAACATATCAGAAACATGATGCCTAAGTTTGAATCTGTAATGGCTATTTATTTATCATGACATTTATGTTACACTTAAACACTGTTTTGTGTTTTTCCCATTCATAAAAGCAGATTTTTGGGAGGGGGGGGGGGGTACCCTGTCAGATACATGCCTGTGGGCGGTCTTACCCAGCCTGTGTGCTAACTGTGAGTGTGCAGTGCTGCTGATCATCACCTCTGTGTAAGAAATAGTAGCCTGAGGGCAGCTAAACACACGTCATGTTTTTCTCCATTCTCCTCAGACACACTGACTAAGTCCAAGTAGGGTGTGTCTACTGACTCAACTAACACACACACCCAAACAGGCACACAACTTCAGGCATGTACGGTCACGACTTCAATTACACAGGAGATCAGATATAACTGTCTTTTTATTATTCTTGGTAACATCCTGCTGTTTCCTCTCTGTCAACCCGATCCCTTGGTTACAGTGAAATTGAGCCATGACTGCCTTTTTAAAGAATCGGTGACCGATAAACATCACTGCAGAGCAGATACCTGGGAAGCACCTGGGAAACAGTGGGGAAAAGAAACTAGAACAAAACAAATTACAATCACATAATAAACTTCTGTGTGCCTGAACACGTTTCTGCACGTATTTACTTTGGATTATGTGTTCTTCATGTCTACAGAATGTTTTGTACAGGGATCTATTGGTTTTAGTGTGGTGTTATTACAACGTACATGTGAGAGGATCATTGCACTCCTGAACAACTTTTTGTAAAGAACATAATATTTTTGGAACTTAAAGACAGGGTTGAGCTAGCCACAAAGCATTTTATACTATTACAGCAAATCGTTTTCAGTTGAATCTTCGTTTTTGCCACGCAAATGTACAACCGTACTGACATACATCTGAACATTAATGACAGAGCAAACCAATGGCGGTTGATTAATGTCCATGTAGCCGAGTAAATGCAGTAATAAAATAATTAATTAGTAAAGTTTATAAATATACTGAACCAAAATCAGAAGATACCAGACTTGACACGATAAAGAAAATGCAATTTGCAAAAGTCAATGACCACAAAGACAAACAACAATGGGCCTAGAATATACCCCTGTGGGACATCAGCAGAATATTGATTACATCTGAATGATGTTTCTTATTTGTCTCATAATAATAATAATAATAATAATACATTTATTTTGGGGGGAGCCTTTCATAACACCTAGGACACCTTACAGGGTTACAAATTTACAATGAACATTTACACATTTTTTACAGTTTTACCTTACAAATTAAAACAGTGGATTTAGTGAAGTATCAGCCGGGGTAAGACAAGACAAACAACAGGAAATTGACTACAAAAGGACACAGGGTACAGATTATAAAGAAAATGGCAGTTTGAACAGGTGGGTTTTGAGTTGGGTTTTGAATGTTGTTATAGAATCAGACTGTCGGATGTGTAGTGGCAGGGAGTTCCAGAGTCTGGGAGCCGAGCAGCAGAAAGCTCGAGCACCCATGGTTTTGAGGCGATAGCTTGGGACGGTGAGAAGTCCTACGGACGAAGAGCGGAGGGTGCGGGAGGGGGTGTATTCCTGAAGGAGCTCGGTGATGTAGATGGGGGCAAGGTTATGGAGAGCTTTGTATATGAGTAGAATGTTTTTGTAGTCAATACGGTACCGTACAGGAAGCCAGTGTAGCTGAGTGAGAATGGGGGTGATGTGGTCGGATGAGTTGGTGCGGGTGATGATCCGGGCAGCAGAGTTCTGGATTATTTGCAGTCTATTGAGGAGCTTGATGGGAAGGCCAGTCAGAAGTGCATTGCAGTCAGGGCCGTGGGAAGTAGGGGTGCTGAGGGTGCTGCAGCACTCCCTGGTGGAGGACATGGAATCTGCACTTCCACAAGACTTGTGGAAGTGCAGATTCCATGTCCTCCACCAGGGAGTGCTGCAGCACCCTCAGCACCCCTACTTCCCACGGCCCTGACTGCAATGCACTTCTGACTGNCATTTTCAACCATGCAAGAAAATATAAATAGTCCTACAAATACTTTTTTTATTTTTTTTATTTCCTTCTTATTTTTGTCTAAGCTCAAGGGAGCCAGAGCAGGAGGCTTAAAGGGCCGCATGCGGCCCGTGGGCCGCGGGTTGCCGACCCCTGGGTTAGCCTTACCATAGATTACCCAACAAAAATACTCTGGAGCTGCCACTGCCCACTGGACATCCCTGTTTCATACACGTCTTGCTTTGCAAAGCAGATGTGAACTGCTTAAACATTCTCCAAATAATTTATGCTATTGGCCCTTAAATTAATTGATGAGCTCTTATACAACATTTCATATTTAAGAGTGTATGATTTGACACTATTAAAATAACATATCTAACAGACATGTCCAGGTTGATAGAGAGGGCACGATGCTAAGCATTACAGAAAGTAACAATGTTATGCCCTCTGGTGGTAAAGAGTTAGCATTACAGTCAATGGCATGGAAGAATTAAGTGAAAAGTATAATTTAGCTAAACTACATTTTATCTCAATTTTGCCATCTTGTGGCAAACTTTGTAGTCAATGGAATATAAAAGATTACAATACCCATGCAACAGCCAATTAAGAGACGTATGGGCCATCTGTGTAGAAGATGCTGAGGGACAGTTTTTAATCAGAAAGAAAGACAATACAAGGGTCCTTATAATTTAATTTGAGTTTTGCCTGTTTTGTTTTAATTAGCTTTGACTCTTGTAAAGGCAGAGTGTCCTTGTTAAATGAGTGTAGACACAATGGTATTGAATGTCTGATGAACCACACCAGCCTCACAACATTAAGCCATCATTGGAAGCCAGATCAGTGATTACAAATGTGAGTAAAACGAATTAATTGAACAATAACGCCTTGAAAGTGTCAGCGTTACAATGTGTGTGAAGTGACTTATAGAAAGAAAGGAAGGTTTTATGTGTTTATATGCCTGAAACCTTAATGGGTACCTAATTAAAGATTAAATATTGTTATGATTTCTGAAATTGTAATAATGGTAGTTCTCTAACAATCTGAAGAATTTGATGTATGTTTTGTCCTTGAATACCATGGATATTTTGATGCACAGGTTACCGCCTGCCAAAAAGAGACAAGAAGGGAGAGAAGTTTGAATGGGTTCTAACCTGCTGTGGATAATGTTACCTGCACTAACATAACACTGTATCATTGGATTTTTCAACTTTGCAATGTGTTTGGGTCAATACCAAAGTGATGCTAGAGAATTAGGTCGTGCTCTGTGAAGATCTGTCAGCCAGTACAAACTTTTTTTTATTATGTTTTTCTACATAACCACATATTGGTATGAAAACGATTGTATATTTACAGTATTTACACATCGCATAACGTTTCAACAAACATTCCTCTCATTGCATATCACTTACATCCACCAGCCAGCAGGTGGCGCTACACAGCAGCTCACCACAGGCAGGAAGCCTTTCAACACCATGAAGCCTTCACATAGTATTTCAACCTCAATACTATTTATTTACTACTATATATGAGAATAGATGGACCCTGTAGAGAGCAGTTTAGTTTGTCTGTTGCTGCCCAGGAGCAAAATAAGCATAGAGTTATGTGACACACATAATGAGTGTTTTTTATTTATTTAAGTGCTCATTTTGGGTTTTCATATCTTGTAACCCTGACTGCTTTATATCTACCTGCAGACCTAAAAGAATACTCCAGAGAGGAATATGTAGAATATGTCTGTTTTACTTCTACAACTCTACACTACTGTCTATGACTCATGTTCTAACAGATTAGTTTTCTTGTTGTTTTTTTGTGGACTTCACTTCACTGATTGATATAGGTTGCCCTATCAAAAGGTCTCGACTGATCCATGAAGGCTCTCATTGGGGGGTCTCTCATGTGTTTTCAATCCTTAAAGGTAAACCAAAACTAAACACATTTCCCAATGCACTTGAAGGCATCAATAATAAGCAGCACATAATGGAAGGCAGTTCAGACAGAAGTGCATACAAAGTCTCTGACGTGTTGCACCTCTCAGCAGCAGTTTCCTAATAAATATCTCGAGTCCTTGCATGGGGCCAACCCCTTGCTTCAGGAGGCGTGCGGCCGGTTGGCCATGCTGCGCTGGCTCAGTCTGTGGGACTGGACCAGGTTCATATTTTGGGTCGCAGCCCCATTTTCATGCACCAGCTTCTCATCCTCCTCCTCTTTCCCCCCCATACTGCATTGCCTCTCCATTGTTCTCTGCTCCCGGGCCAACATGAGTACCATCTCGGCGTCCATCGTCTCACCATAGGAAAAGGGCTGACACACGTTCTCCAGCAGGCCAATGACTGTCCCCAGCACTGCCAACACTGAACCCAGCAGGTAGACCTTCAGCAGACCCCGGCTGGGTCTCTGAGACAGAATCTCTCTGGCGAAGGGGATCAACTCCTGCATGCTTCCCATTTACAACGGTGAGACACAATGGTGGGCTAAGCGTAATACAGACCTGGGGAAAAAAATGATTTTAGAGGTTATCAGCTGTTTTCAGATAAACAATGTCTTTCATAATCCTTTTGATTCCACATCATTCACAACTGATGAGATTTTTTAAATGCGATTGTCTTTCCAGTGGTTGGACAGTGTATACTCTTTCATGTATATACACATATGATATGAAATATATGTAAATGTCATCAACAGTTAATTAATTGGAAAATAGAAATTCAACACAATGTAGGGTATAGCAATGTAGGCAATTGATGACTTTTGCAAACACAGTGACGATTTTTTCCATTTATGCATTTCACACACAGCACAAACACTAGTACTGAATACCAAATAATAAAAACTTACTGTGATTTAGTCTGGTGTTTGTTCGACTTACTTGTTGACCCTACTGAGCTCCAGTTTGTGGCAGAACACATCTTCCCTGGACACTGTCCTCATTTATAGCCCCACTCCCCCCACCCGCACAGTGTCACACAGCTGCTGAATGGTGGACTGTCAATGGAAATAAAAAGGATTTGAGAAACTTTGAGCCAGGTCTGTGTTGGCTTATTGCAGTCGTCACTGTCACTGGTGCTATGAGTAATATTCCATTATAGTATGGTTTACAATGGAGTGAGTGCTGTGTTATGAGTTTCATTCAAAGAATGAACAGTGTGTGAATATTGTATCCGTTTACCTTGTGAAGATAATGAGGACAAACCGGTACCATGCCGAATGTAAAGTACTGTACCATACCATGTACAGTATCATACCAACATGTTATATGTTGAAAATTAAAAGCAAGGGAAAAACAACCACAACTCGACCACTTGACAACGATGTTATACTGATACTTGCCGGCTTAGTATGTCTGTAACAGATTTGAAGACTTTAGACAAATAAGAACAATGTTGTGACATTGTTCCTTTTCATACTGAATATGACAGACTGTAAGAGAAAAATAAAGACCTTTTTCAACTTTAAAGCATCTAAACATGTCACAGTAGAGGCACAGAATATGAATATGAACCTAAAAAGGGCATAATAGTGAACCTTTAAAGTTCCTATTCCAACTAACGTCGTTATTTCCCCTTCAGAAAACTGATGCGACATCTAAAACTGAAACCGTTTGGCAATGTAACAGCTAATAGGGGTCCCCTTTAAATATACTGTGAAGTGTGTACATAGCACATTTATTGATTCTAGTTAGATGTTAGCGTGAATAAGTCAAAAGCCATGAATACATCAAAAGACCAAAAAAAGCAAAGGTAACAACAATGAACGTGATGTTCCTCAGGTGTTGTTAGGTTGGTGTGCACTGCTAGTAGCTATAGGCTGAAACCATACAGGTGATCAGGGCTTTCCATCCAGCTGATGGGAGTCCGTGTGGATCTTCCACATCAACAGTCTCCAAATCAGGGGAAAGGTTGTGTAAATCGAGTCCTCTGCAGCATTTCAGCTGCTGTGACCTGTATACAGAGTGGAACCAAAGAGAGGAGCAAACACAGAGTGGAACCAAAGAGAGGAGCACACACAGAGAGGAACCAAAGAAAGGAGCACACACAGAGTGGAACCAAAGAGAGGAGCACACACAGGCCCAATTCCAAACCACACCCTACCCACTCCCCCTCCGTGATGGAGTGAACTCCGTCTGTAGTCACACTCTCAGCTTAAAGAGGCTCCCTACTTCCAGATGGAGGGTGTAAAAACAGCGGCAAGCTTTGGGATGAACTCCCCTCTCTCCAGCTGAAACAGGAAATGCCATCATTTTTCGTAACAACGGTTTCAAATCAGCATCTCTTGAATTAAAAATAACAAAAATAAAACCCTAAAATGTTTGTATGGCATATATTTTTTGTAAACATATTTTTGTTTTAAAATCTGATGTTTGTAAACGGCTTCGTTTTTGCAAAAGTCAGTGTAAATATACACAACTTTTACCGTTTTCTAGACTAGACATGAGTACATTATCCTATGTTCAAACAAATAGGAAGTAACCATAAGGTTGTTAACATCTGTATGAAGATATTAAATAGCTCTTGTTGTGCAGTTTCAGGTGAAGTCAGGACCGATGCAGACTCGCTGTTGGGGAGCTTGATAACCCACTCCCCCTCCACACTCGTTGGTTTGGAACAGCACTTAATGTGGCGGACCCTCCGCGCGAACGCGCAAACGGAGGGGTAGTGTGTAGGGGGCGGTTTGGAATTGGGCCACATAGTGCTGACTCACATGGAGCAGCACTGAGAGTGCAGACGTGTGACGACACATAGAGAAGCAGAGATTACATGATTACATCAACTTGAATATGGGGATGGTATTGATTTCTGATTATTGTTTTATTGTTATTCAAATATTTTAAGAGAAAACTGGCATACACAATGAAAAATGTCTTTTTCCATACCTAAACGTTTACTCTTTTTCAAGAGCTAGCTTTCTAGTGTAGTGTAATGTTAAATTTGCTTCAATTCGTAGCCCTGATAGAATTTATAATTTCACTGCAGATTGGCTGAATAAGATTTAGCTAAATAAGTGATGAATGGCTGCATGGACATTTCACGTTTCAGAGGTGATTCTGTGCGTGCTGCCTAACTTACACCCCTAAATGAGAAGGAACCATCATAATCCTCAATATTAGTCACAGCTGTTCGTATGTCAAATGATTGTAGAGCCCATTATTCAAACTTTGGTGCTCCTGGCCCTCACTTGAATCTTTGGTTTACAATAGAGTGCCACAGTGACGCGTCCTAAAACCCGGAAGTAAGCTGCGCATGGGTTCCTTAGACAAAAAAGCAATGCAATTTCTCCATAGGGTATTGGAAAATAGCTCGAAATGAGGTCTGTGGCTGACACACACTTAGGACGCGTCACTGTGGCACTCTATCTTGCCATTTGTAGCTGTGAGGATACAGCGAATCAAAAGTAAACAGGGCTCTGCTCAATTCACACCTTGCTCCATTTAACAGAGACATATGAGTACTGGGTCCACTCCTATTCATCATACATCTCCTCCCCCTAGGCAAAATCCTCCGTCACCATGAGGTTCATTTTTACTGCTACGCCGACGACACACAGGTCTACATTTCCTCCAAACCCACCACTGCCCTCCCCCCAACCTCCCTCACCACCTGCCTTGAGGACATCTGGAGCTGGATGAGCAGGAACCTCTTGAAGCTTAACGTTAGCAAAACTGAGGCCCTGCTCATCGGCTCCAAATCCACCCTCACCAATTCACATAACACCCCAGCACCAAACATCGTCATCGACGGCTTCCCCATACCATTCGCTGCCCAAGTGAAAAGCCTCGGTGTCATTCTGGACGGCTCCCTCTCATTCGCACCACACATAAAAAACATCACCCGCACCGCCTTCTTTCATCTTCGGAACATCTCCAGACTCCGCTCATCTCTGTCCCAACCCAGCACTGAAATCCTGATCCACTCATTCGTCACATCCCGGATTGATTACCGCAATGCACTTCTGACTGGCCTTCCCATCAAGCTCCTCAATAGACTGCAAATAATCCAGAACTCTGCTGCCCGGATCATCACCCGCACCAACTCATCCGACCACATCACCCCCATTCTCACTCAGCTACACTGGCTTCCTGTACGGTACCGTATTGACTACAAAAACATTCTACTCATATACAAAGCTCTCCATAACTTG